AAGCATTATAACTTTTTATGACCGAGTGGCGTGGCGTTTTTTCCGTTTCCGCTGTAATAATTTTAATTTGTTTATAATCTTTTTACTTCAATAATTATTTTTTAAAACATAAATCTAAAAACAGTATATTCAATGAAAAACATGTATTTTAAAATATGTGTTTAGCAGGTTTGAAAATTTAATCTTTCCTCGTGTCATTTCCAACCGAAAAAAAATAGATAAAGTTATGTAATTATCTTTCCTTTGTAGTTACATTAATTATAAATAATATATTATCACCTGACACGAAATATTTGAAATTCAACCACTTGAGTTATAGTCGGTTTGGCATAAAAAAAAATCTTAAAATATAAGAAAATAGTTTTAAATTGTATTATTAGTCAAAATAATATTTTGTTTAACCCAATTGAACACATATATATTTATCTTGAATTAATAACACAATTAATTTTTGATTGACAAAGCAATAACACAATTTAATATCATAGTAAAAAAAAAAGGGATTAAATACGATGATATTTATTTAAATGAAAATTTTCCTTAATTGGGCTCGTTTGCAGCTTGACCCGTATATACACTCTTACGAACGGCGTCGTTTGTTACAACATCACGTCTATTTAAATGCTCCATTTTCCCTCTTCATCAAGTGGATGCGTTGAGATCAATTCAGACTTCAGAAATCAGAATTCAGGTTATCAGATTCCATTGAATAACTCAGAGGAAATACCGAAAGCGCAGTACTAGAAACAAGTTGCTGCATTACTCTTTTGAGCTCCATTCGTCGGGTTCTCGTTTGTTGCAAGGAATTAAATCACTATCGGGGTTCGTTCTTCCTTCCCCATATCTAATCAAATGCATTTTCTTGATTGAATTTTATATTTCGCAAGATTAACGTGACCAAGCGATGAGATTCAGCTCAATAATCTTGAATTTCCGAACAACTCTTGACTTCTTTTATTCAAGAACCGATTTTCTTCGGAAAATGCAGTAGGAGTCTCAAATTGTCACGGAATTCTGGTTTCTAATACTGCATTTGGTACCATTTATGTGATTTTGCCATCCCACGAGCTTAATTCTGATAACAAATCAAGTCATGTCTTATACTTTTAGAAACACGCGTCTTTTGAACTTTATCTGTACTCCAAGATATGTATGTGTATGTGCTGATTAACATCTAGAGGTAAATGTTCATATTCACTTGAAAATCAAGTAACTGAATTTCAAAATTTATTGAATTTGTATTCGGTCTGTTTTGGCCGGAGAACACCAATTGGAATCAAGAACTACATTGTTGGGTAGGTGATTAAAAGGATTCTTGGCATTTAGTAGGTTGTTGTATGCTGGGAAGTGATAGATAAATTGTTTGAGGGCCATAACAATGCAGTCGATTATTTTATACCATTGGATATATGAAAGAGAAAAAAAAAACTTTGTTTTTGACTATGCATACAGAAAATTATGTTCACAATTTGAAATTCTTTAGGGAGTGGTAGCTGCAGAAAGGGAGCCAATGCAAGTCAATAACATTCAAAGAAGACCACACATTCTTCTTGCTGCTTGCGGAAGTGTTGCTGCGATAAAGTTTAGAATCCTATATCATTGTTTCTCTGAATGGGCAGAAGTTCGAGCAGTTGCCACAAGGGCAGCATTGTTCTTCCTTGACCGGGCAGACCTCCCCAAGAATGTCCCTCTTTACATCGACGAGGATGATCTGGCCAGTTGGGGCAAAATTGGTGACGATGTGCTTCACATTCAGCTCTGTAGCTGGGCTGATATCATGGTTATTGCTCCACTCTCTGCAAACACTCTTGCCAAGGTTATATTATATGTTTCATCCTCGTTTATATAATTATTTCCTCATAGGCTCATACTTCAATCTAAACATATGAATGAACTACTCACCACTCTGAATTGGACTAGTGGTCATTGGGCTAGTGAAAAAGTAAAAGGACCACCTAGAATGAATAGGTTCAAACTCCAACCATCGGTATGGAATATTAAAATTATATGAATTTTCTTGGAAGGCAAAGGTGGTTGATGCTTGAAGTATTTACAAAATAAAAAGAAACAAAAAAATTATGTAGCAAACAGGGAGAAAACTAGTGTTCCCTGGTGCAATAGAATCTATGTGAATCAACCCTTTAGTTTGTGCCAGCTTTTAATGATATTTGGAAGAATGGAGGGAAGGGATGCCCATAGCTATGTATTTTACTGAAACATTTCTGTTTGTTGGGGAATTGTGGATTATGTAGATGTAAGTAGTGTGGAACCTACAAAATACAGTTAGTGCATCAAGAATATTGGGTCAAAATTAATCTTGAATGAGTGAACTACCAAGGTTGAGAAACTAAGATCTCAGAGAGTGATATTGTGCATTTGGCTTATCTTTTTGTAGAAATCATGGCATCAATTTAAATTTCTACACCAAATATTCCAGCTTCCTTTATTTTAAATTCAAAGAGATGGTGAGATCAATGTAGCATCATCATGTTTATCTGTTTCGTTACTTCAATTCAATGTCCGTTTGGTGGCGTTCCTGTTTCTTCTTTTTGGTTATCGCTGCTTGGTTTACTATGTGTGGAAGATGAGATTTGATATTTGCAAAAAACTTCTACTCATGGTACGATGTTGTTATTAGATTGCGGGAGGATTGTGTGATAATCTATTGACCTGCATTGTACGGGCATGGGACTACAGCAAGCCTTTATATGTTGCACCAGCCATGAACGCATTAATGTGGAACAATACTTTCACTGAGAGACATCTTGTGTCTGTTGATGATCTTGGAATTACCCTGATCCGACCAGGGTCAATTAGTGGGGAACGGTGCAATGGCGCCATGGCTGAACCCACCCTCATTTCCTCAACCGTGAGGCTATTCTTGGAGTCACGCCGTAAAGGAACAGCCAGAGGCTAGAGCAGTAAAATTGTGAACACCATCATTTTTGGAAGTGAGTGAGATAAATTGGTTGATTTGGTTTGGGTACGAGCTGCAATATTGACCTCTCTGCCCTGAGTAAAGCTGTGAATTATTATTAACCACCCGTGGGTTGTGGTTTTACTGAGATTGGGCGGGGCATGCTGTAAATTTTTGTTTGTACCGTTGAGTTCTTCCTATTGTATCTTCTCACTTGTAATCTTACTTGGCAGCATTTGTCCGGTCTCTGTGTGGAAGTGGAACCCATATTTGTACACGAATAAAGAGCACTGCTGTTAATTATATTCGCTTGCTTATATTTTTTTTCCTTTACTTAGAACCATTGTGGAGTAAGGAGGCTAATAGGTATCTTATTTACTTGTGTTATGTTTCTTGAAAGATCATAAAATCTTTTGAAAATTACTGATAGTTTAATAGTTGTTGAAGGTGTGACATTGATATGAAAATTTTATCTTAAAATAATTTTTTCATTTTAAATTGCTATCTTGTTTAAGATAGTCGTTGAAGGTGTCACATTGATATGAGAAATTTATCTTAGAATAATTTTTTTCATTTTAAATTGCTATCTTATTTAAAATTGACAACTCGTTGGGTCAAAGAAAAAAGAAATAAGGTTTGTATTTATATCTTGAAAACAACCAACTATTTATAAGAATATATGTGCGTAGATTTTTTTTTCTCTCTAGACAAGATTTTTGTAGATTTGCACTTTACATATCCGACATCTGTCGAGTATTTATCATTTTTAACATTTTGCGTAATTTATTGATGAGTAGTAGTTTATTTTGTTACCAACTAATGGGAAAATTAAATTTAAAATTTAGATAAAAGAAAACTTAAATATTTAAAAAATTAATAGAGGAAAATAACAATATTACTGTTGCACATTACATTACATCAGTAGTCAAAAACAGAACATAGCACACAAAATTAGAAAATTAAAT